CAGCTCCGTACACAGGTGATAAATGCCCCTGTACATCAGTGGTGCTGTGATATATGGGTGTTAGTCCCCATCACTGTTGATCCTCCTCTGGGATCCTTCCAGGATTTGAATATTTCAGGTGAAGAACCTGCTCCTGCTGGGACAGCGGCCATTTTTAATCGTAAAGTCACATCAAATTAATCAGTGTTTGTTTGTGTTTTTTTTTCATTTCCTGGGTGCTGCTTTTTCAGGTCAGGTTTGAAAAGTGTGGGACTAAAACAACCAACCTATTTCTTCAGTGAAAACTTTACTGCGAACCAGTTTCTCCTCTTCAACCAACACACACTTCATAACAAAACAACGCCAACTCTGACAAAGTGAAGCTTTACTTCTTCACTCCTTCCACAGGAGATGAGGCAGGTGGCGGCCCGGTAGGGTTCTTGGTTTGAATCCCAGCCTCGGTGTGACCGTGGTGCCTTCATGGACGGGTTAAATGACGCGTTTCATTGTGGGGTTTTTTGTGCAATGATGAATAAAGCTGCTGCTGCTTCTGATGAGTCTGGGCCGAGCACCTGAAAAAGGTTCTAAACCAGGCATGGCCAAACTACGGCCCAGGGGCCCGGATCTGGCCTGTTTGGCTTTTTAATCCGGCCAACCAATTCTGTTCAAATTATTATTAATTTCTATTTTCTTTTTTTTCTCCTGCTTTTCCCCTGCAATGCCCACTTTTCCCCAACAGATGGCATAGGAAAGGCTAAAAGCATTTTTGGCATTTTAGCCTGACACACACACAGAGCTGGGAATTGAACCCTTGACCTTTTTACAGTATCTATAGACATGATGACACTTACCCATGTATTGCATGAAGTGGGTGTGGCTCATACTGGTACCGCCCTTCATGGTGCCTCATGTCAATGGGGATGGGGGGGTGGAAAGCTGGGAAGAGCTGATGGACACCTGTAGAGAGAGAGAGAGAGACATTACTGCCACCTACTGGGTCTACTTTCTCCTAGAGCAGTGATTCCCAACCATTGTGCCGTGGCCCAATAGTGTGCCGCGGAAAATTATCCAATGTCACTTAATCGGTTCCAAAACTATTATTTATTTATTGGAAATAATTTTTATTTGGTCGTCAATGCGTGACGGACAGAGCAATCAAATCCTCTTCCACTAGGTGGCAGCAGATGGTTTGAAGAAGATCCTTGTGAGTGTCTTTCTTCAATTCCTGCCACTATATGAGTGTAATCTTCAACTAAACAGGAGTAGATTTTTAGTAAATTTAAACTAGAATATTATTATATTTCATTGGATGAGATTTTTTGATTGGTGATGTGCCGTGGCTCAAAAAAGGTTGGGAAACACTGTTCTAGATGACGCCGTGATAACAGATAAACCCCAGTGGGGGTAGAACCCTGGCTGATGTTCAGAGGAACAGGGACTTCGTGTAGATGAAGTCAAACATGGAACTCTTCAGTTCAGTTCTGAACACCTCAGGGTTCCAGCGTCTCTCTGTAACCAGTGTGAGCCTGTAGGCTAGCACGCAGAGCTAAGTGTTGTGTCAGAGGTATTACTGAGGCGGCGGTGAAGTTCTTGTTCTTGCTCTTTGTTCATCCTGCGGGGATTACGCGTGACTAGAAGAGCGGAGCCTCCCTGAAGGCACCAAGTTCACTGCTGTGGAATTTGTCTAACAATGAGCTGGTTTCTCTGTGCCTTCCATTAATGTTGACTCAACAACAACAACGACGTTACAGCTAAGTACCAACTTAGCACAACCTGTGATTTCAAACAATGGAGAACACTGTTTGTCAGCAGACATAGTAAAAAAAAGAAAAAGTGTCTGAACAGTACCAGAGCCAGGCTGGTACTCATCCTGGGACATGAGAACTGGTACAAAAGACCTGGTTTGTCCCAGAACCAGTGCTGATACCGTACGTCCAAGTGGAGACCATTGTCAGATCATCAAGAACAGGTGAGAACAAACCGGAGTGTGCCCCCAAATGGCCGACTCCCATGATGCAGCTGCAGGTCGTGGGGGTGCTGTAGGCACGACAGGCCCTTCCATCACCCAGACAACTGCACTGTTCCCTGAGCAGCAGAGAAAAACAGCAACAGGTCCCAGCCTGCAGCGTCTGGAACACCTCCACGTCTCCTGCAGGTCTCCGAGGACACGCTCACGTTCACGTTCACCCAGAACAGTTCCAGGAACAAGAACGCAACACAAACTTTAGGTAGATCTTTCACAGTTTCAACTCTCGTTTTGACAGGAGAGAGGTCAGAAGTCAAAGGTCAAAAGGTCACAGAGGAAACAGAAGAGCAACCGTCAGCTTCAAAATAAAGGAAAGTTACCCCCCCCCCACCCCCCTCCAAGTGCAATTTCATTAATGAACACAAACAAAACCACGGATCGGGAGTGGGCTGAGTGGAGTGGGCTGAGTGGAGTGGGCTGAGTGGAGTGGGCTGAGTGGAGTGGGCTTATGTCTGCGAGGAAGTACTCAACACAAATCACAATGCCCTGAGAGCCAGGAATCATGGGGGGTGGTGTGTGTGTGTGTGTGTATGGGGGGGGGCTCCATTCACACAGGAAATTCCAGCAGGAAAAGTTGGCCTGGGTCCTAACAACACAGGCTCCTGCCAGCGGCTGTACACAAGTGCACCGTGTGTGCTGACTGTCTCACACACACACACACAGACACACACACACAGACACACACACACACACAGACCTGCTCTGTCTTTAGTCTGAGAGTTAAATGACATCAGTTCTAACTCCTCACCTCAGTTAAACCGTCCGTCGGTTCCTGTGAACCTCAGCCAGGTTCCTGCCCTCTCTCTGGGTTTTTCCTCGTTCTTCCGTCCCGACTGTATTTCATTATGCGTCGCCATGACAACCTCCGTCCTCCAGGACCTTCTCAGATCCCTGACCTGATGTGAGTCCAGACTGCAGACCCCCGGAGGACCCTGCACCGCCGTGATCCATCACCGAGGCACCGCCTTCACCGACTGTTCTACAGGCAGACCCTACCTCACCTGGGCAGGGAACCAGCAACCCCCAGACTGACTACAGGGTCTCACTACAGCTCCACACCCGTCAGTCTACACGACCAGTCTGTAACCACTGCACGGCCCGGACCTCAGCTGCTCAGTGGGGGCCGGGGGTGAAGCCTCCGTGGAGCTGCAGAAGCAGCAGCTCGACTTCAGCCACGTGTGTGAAGACAGATGAGGTGTCACACAGATCAGCCCCCCCCGCACCCCCCCCTTCATGTCCACCTCTGATTTATGGTCTGATAAATTTAGAACGCTGCAGTAAACTTCAGTCGGTAAACAATGATGCACTGGGCGTGGCCCTGGTGGTGGTGGGGGGGGCAAGTGAAGGGGGGGTTAGGGTTAGGAGAAGCAGAAGAAATGAAGATCCATCCGTCCATCCGTCCGTCCAGGACCTCTGCTGGAGACACATGTGAGTGAGGTGGGGGACCGCGGGGTCCAGCTCTCACTGAGATTCTCCCCAGGACTCAGGGCTACTTCCTGGGCTGTAATTAAAGCCTTATCCCAGTGACAAACCAGAATGGAACTGCACAGCCATCTGGGGCAAATTACTGCTTTACCCCGGAGTCAGAGGAAGTTTGATGATATGTAAACAATCATGTACTTTAGCTTTAGCCCTGTGTCCCGTCCCTCCACCCCAAC